CACTCACCTCAGCCTCCCAAAGGCACGGGATTACAGGTTGAGCCACCGAGCCCGGCTCAAACTCCATTTTTAAGTGGTTAAAAAAAAAAATCACAAATACTTAGAAGCAAAACAGAGACATTAATTGAATGCAGAGCCTGATTGAGTAACTCTTGGCCAAGTGTGGTGGCTCACACCTGTAATCCCAACATTTTGGGAGGCTGAGGTGGGAAGACCCATGTGAACCCAAGAGTTTGAAACTCACCTGGGCAACATAAGTGAGACCTTATCACTACAAAAAATCAAAAAATTAGCCAGGAGTGGTGGTGGCATGCATCTAAGCCCAGTTATTCGGGAAGCTGAGGCCAAAGGATCATCTGAGCCCCAGGAAGTCCAGGCTGCGGTGAGCTGTGATCAAGCCAGCACTCCAGCCTTGGCAACAGAGTAAGACTCTGGCTCAAAAAAAAAAAGGGATTCTAACTCTGATTAACATTAATTTTCTCAAAATAGCCTCGTTGTTCTCACTGATTGACTTTACATTCAGTATTATGTTATGTGAACTTTAAGAATCTGTCCTGGTAAAAGACACTTTCAATCTTTTACCAATGTAGTTTCCTTTGGGGAAAAAAAGGGTTTGCTAGCTGGGTGCAGTGGCTCACACCTATAATCCCAGCACTCTGGAAGGCAGAGACGAGAGGATTGTCTGAGTTCAGAGGTTTGAGCACGTTGCCCTGGGCAGAGATGAGGTCTTTGCTGCTAAAAGGAAGCTTGAAAACCATTGGTAAGTAGGAAGGTTTCACTGATTTCATGATTTACTAGCCAAGTGACCGTGGTAAGACCTGGTGTTGAAGGGATCACAAGAGATAATACAGTCTATTTAAGTTCAAATTCCAGGAACTCTGGTTTCCTCCTGCTCAGACAGGCGTGTTACAACAAGTTGTGTTTTCAAACACCCCGGTTGACTCCCCTCATTTGTACTGAACTTTGACTAGATCAGATGGCCCAAAACCAAGGTTTAAATTTAGGGCTTGGTTGTGACCGTAAAGACAAGTGAACTCTGGCAGGCTTGAAAGCTGTGACCTACCCAGTGCCGGTGGTGATATGTGTATGGGCACAGCAGGGCAGGCAGTGTCACAGGAAGTCACAGTGACACACCTTCGGAGGCTTTAGCGTTAGACAGATCTGGGTCTCGATCCCAGCTCTGCTCCTTTCCAACCATGTGACTTGGTGTCCACATCCGTGAAATAAGGATAATGAAGTATCTATTGATCAAGCTATTTTAAAGATAAAATGATAGAATGCATATACAGGTAATTTGAGCATAAGGTCAAATGAATGGTGCTCCCAAGTGGCAGCCATTAATTCAAGACAGTTCTTGAAAGGCTAAATGTTGCAGGTAAAACCTATTGGTTTTTGTCATTATTTATCTCTTTGTAAGTAGAGGGTATGCCCTGGTGGGTGCAGTAAGAAGTGGGTTCTGGTCCCATTTGGAGGAAGGCAAAGGGAAATGAAATCAGCCAAAGTTTTGGGGGTGGGGATGGGGTGGGCTGGTGCAAAGGAGGAAACTGGACCCGGGAGATTGCAGACGGCCTGCTGCAACCTCTTCCCTTCCTCTGGCCCACAAAAAGCACATGGAGCACATGAAGAAGCCAAGACAGCAGCTCAGAACTGAAGGATCGAATATTTCAGAAAACTGAAATCCACGTATACTAAATGCAGGCAGAAACAGACTCTCACCCACAGAAAATGAGTTAAAATGCATACACTTTATTATGTACACTGTTGGAAAGGGAGGTCATTTGGAAAATCTCTTGCATGAACATTCTCATCCTAGAGCTCCTGCTATGCTTCCTCCCTCCCAAGTGATTTAATTTCAACCTATTGGATAGGCAGAAAAATGAAGGTAATTTGATATCTGGAAATAGGAAAACTCAAGGAACAAAAAGCATTGTTACTCTAAGTCTGAGAAGAGATTTTCAGCCAGCATACGGGATTTCCTGGCCTTCAGTAGTCAAGGGTAAGCCACCTCACAAAACAGATGAAACCATCATTTAAAAATGCAGAATACAAATGCTACTTGAGTTCCAAGTTGAAATGTTCCATATACCTCTAATAAACTCTGCCAGGAACCAGGATGCACAGTGGTTCAAGGTTTTCTAAAATAAGCTTAGAAATGGGCCACAAGGGAAGAGACGTCCACAGGCTAGGATGGGCACAATGATTCAGATATGAGGGTGGTGCTGGGAAAGAAAGCAGTTATTCTGAGACTTCTCTAGGTGAACTCAAAGAGGAAGTATCACAAATGTCTCCAGCCAGCTTTCCAGGCCGGCAGGTGGAAAGCCAAGTTGCTCAGATCCACAGGCATTTGCAAAACGGAAGATGTTCCTAATGTTACAGACTAAGAGGCTGTGGGCTAGATAGGCTGAGCACTTCCTCTCTCAGCATCAATACATATGACAGAAGAATGACTAAGCAAATAAAAAACATTTACATCTATATAGATATCTTAAGTTGGACAGTGTCTGACCAAGCTCATTAGACATTATGTGCCCAATATACTGGGAATTCCTTATACTACTTAATGAATGGGCTTGTAACCATATTTCACATTGTACAACAGTTAATCACATGTAGTAAAATATAATGGTTTCCTGAAAGTATTTTTTACAAAAGTATCTTAGTCCTTAAGCTATTCAAATGGGCATAAAGCAATTTCTTATAGGGTTTACAGAAAATTGTATTAAAAAACTAAAACTATTTAAAGCCTGATATATGAAAATAGGCAAAAGTGAGAAAAAAGCACTTCTGTGACAAATATTTAGCTGGTTTGAAAGATAGACCACAGAGGAATCATTTACTTATAAAGAAGGCTCAAGAAATTATTTTAAATGCACATATTATTTTTAAAAGAACCACTATAATAGTGAATTTAAAGTCTCTGATGGGCTTACAGTAATCTTTTTCACAATCTTGACCATTTGTTCTAGATCTGACAGGTACAGGCAAGAAAATGCTACTCTCAAGTGAGGATTATTCTGAAATATGGTTTGGATTTTGAAAGTAAATGGATATTAGGGAAATTTCCCTAATTAAGATTTTGTGGAGGTAAGGCACATATGTAGCATAAGGTCATTACTTTCTGCAACGTATTTACCCAGCCAGGTGGCAGTTATAGTCTATGTTCTTGTCTGGCTGCTTAGAGGGCTCAGAATGATTCAGTGAAGTCAAAGAGGCGAGACTGAACCTACTACATAATAACTGAAAAATACAAACGTTTAAATATTTTAAAGAGTAAGAAATTTATCTTATATAAATCACCAATCTTTCTCTCCCTTACAAGATAACAATTCTTTCATCTATTTCTATAATTACTATACATTCTAAGAACACCACACTCAATATATAAAAAAGGAAAGGGAGGGAAAATATCTGAGGCTCCTGCCCTACTCTCTCCTTATGTGTTAAAGGCTGATTTGGTCCCTTACTTCATCCTTGGAAGGGCAGAGCTTATCTCTGTGCTGACCTATACAGCTCAGTGTTTCGCCGCCATGATGCCTTGCAACATATCTATGGGCAGAGGGAAGACAATCGTTGAGTTTTTCTCAGCAGCGATGGTGGTCAGTGTCTGAAGGTAACGGAGCTGGAGGGCTGCAGGAGATTCAGTGATCACCATGGAGGCTTCTTTCAGAGCCCTGGATGCATTCATTTCTCCTTCAGCTGCAATGACCTACCAATAGGGAAAAGGAGAGGTCAAACTGTAGAAAACCACATGGTGACATGTAGCAATCTGCAAACTGAGGCATGATTCACACAACTTTCCAAGGAGTATACCAGAATCGTTTTTTGTTTTTTGTTTTTTGAGTTGGAGTTTCACTCTGTGGCCCAGGCTGGAGTACAGTGGATGCTCACTCACAGCCCATCCTATCGTCGACCTGCTAGGCTCAGGCGATCCTTCCACCCCAGCCTTCCAAGTAGCCGGAACTACAGGTGTGTGCTACCACACCCAGCTAATTTTTAAAATTTTTATTGTAGAGATGAGGTCTCGCCAAGTTGCCCAGACTGTTCTCAAACCGTGGGCTCAGGCAATTCGCTCACCTCAGCCTCCCAAAGTGCTGGGATTATAAGACTGAGCCACCACGCCCGGCCCAGAATAGTTTTAAAGAAATCAATTCCTAGACACCCAGCTTCCATATGCTGTTTTTCTCTAAAACTGATTTGCCTTAGTAGTGCCTGGATCAAGTGCCTTTCTCCCGTTTTCCAGGGTACCGGACAAAAACACAATTCAAAATACTGAAGGGGGTTGAGAAAGTGAATGACTTGAATAAATGGAAAAAATCCTTTAGCAAATCAGGTGGATTTACACTTCTTTGATTTCAAAGAAAGAAAGGAGGACCTCACTAAACAGAAAGCTGACAGATCATTAAAAATATTTTTTGGCCAGGCTCAGTGACAGCCTGTAATCCCAGCACTTTGGGAGGCCAAGGCGAATGGACTGCCTGAGCCCACGGGTTTGACATCAGCCCAGGCAACTTGGTGAGACCTCGTCTCTACAACAAATAAAAAAAATTTAGCTGGGTATGGTAGCGAGCCTGTAGTTCTGGCTACTTGCAAGGCTGAGGTGGAAGGATCACTGGAGTCCAGGAGGTTGACGCTGCCATAAGTCATAATCATTATGATCATGCCACTGCACTCCAGCCTGGGCGACAGAGTGAGACTCCAACTCAAAAAAAAAAAAAAAACTTCCATTCTATTTCCTTATTTATGTAACTGAGATTTCTTAGTCCTTATATCTATTAAAATAAAAAATGGGAACAAAATTGATGCTGAATCATGTCTCATTCTAGCAATAAGTAATAGACACCACACATGTATGATTTAATTCCTTATTTATCTCATTAAGAGAAGCATTTCTAATAAAAAAATATTTATTTAGGAAAAATTCTAAAATGTTTGCAGAACCTTGTTTGTAGCCACAGGAATTTTTTTTAAAGAAATGTATTCTAACTTGTACACTAAATGTGTTACAGCAGAGTAAGAAAATAATTCATGATAAAATTTATTATATTAGGAAACATGTGGGGCATTCTGTAATCCCAGCACTTTAGGAGGCCAAGGCAGGAAGATTACTTGAGCCCAGGAGTCGAGATCCACCTGGGCAACAAAGCAAGACCTAGTCTCTACAAAAAATTTTAAAATCGGCCAGACCTAGTGGTGCATACTTGCAGTCCCAGCCACTGAGGAGGCTGAGGCAGAAGGATCACCTGAACTTAAGAGGTTGAGGCTGCAGTGAGCTGTGATAGAGCCACTGTACTCTAGCCAGGGAAACAGAGTAAGACCCTGACTCAAAAAAAAGAAAAAGAAAAGTATCTGTGGGGGAGATAGAATAGAAATTTAAGTATAAGAAGAAAAAGACAATTAAAAAATTTGTGACTTAAAAAAAGCTTGTTCATGGCTGGGCTCAGACTGTAATCCCAGCTCTTTGGGAGTCCGAGGCAAGTGAACTGCCTGAGCCCACAGGTTCAAGACCCGCCCGGGCAACTTGGCGAGACCTCATCTCTACAATAAATCAAAAGTTAGCCAGGTGTGGTAGCGTGTGCCTGTAGTTCCGGGTACTTGGAAGGCTGAGGCAAAAGGATTGCCGGAGCCCAGCAGGTCGAGGCTGCAGTGGCCGGGCAACAGTGTGAGACTCCAACTCAAAAAAAAAAAAAAAAACTTGTTCACATGTTTTTAAATGAATAACTACATATTATTTAAATTTCACTGGCTACATTTAAAAGAATGATGTTAACAGTTTTATTTTAAAATATTTTACAACATGACAGAAATTACATACTTTTTTCTAAATTCTTTAAGACGTTACACTGGTAAAAAAAAAAAGTTGAACATCACTGGCAAGAACAGGGACTCTGGAGTTAAATGGACTTGAGCTCAAACCCCTAATCTAACACTTACCAGCTGAATGTTCTCAGAGAAGTTATTTAACATCCTGAACCTCAGTTTCCCATTCTTCAAATGGGCTAACATTATTGCATAGGACCATTGTGAGGAAGATAGAGAAGGTATACAAAGTGCCCAATGAATAAGTGGAGGCTATTATACAGGAATGACAAGTGAGAAGTAAAGACCCGATGTCTATGCTTCAATGTACAAAAGATTCAAGGTAGTTACTTTCATTCATAGTCCTAGGAGAAAAGTATAAAGATACCATAATCATCAAGATTAAAAGTGCGTTTTACCAGGTTATCGGCACATGGATCTCAAAATATTCGTGGTTCATAAGATTCCATGAATATCAGAATTGGAAGCAATGGTCTTATGCCCAATGAAATTTCATTCACTTATACAAGCAAGCTTTGGGAGTCTTTTAGGTTGTTAACAAGCCCCCTGTAAGAAGCCAGGGATAGAGAATGGAATCTATGGCCTCCTTCAGCTCCAAGTCAAGTAGGGAAGGCAGATATGGAAACAGACCATTTTATTCTAGTTTGATAAAGGCTGACAGAAATATGTACAAGGCACAGTGCTAGCACAGAGAAGAAAGAAAATCCTGCAGAGGGTGAGATGGCAAGATTACAGAAGTTGAATATTAAAGGATGAAACAACTGCTCTTTGGACAAAGATGAGGAAGAACATTTTAGGCAGAACGCATGAGATGGTACTGAGACATACAAAAGTTGGAATTCCAGAAAATTGCAAAGTGGCTGAATACTGTGTAAGGAGGAGGAGAAAGGTGAGAAATGAAGGGGGCCAGGGTCTGAAGGGCAGCAAAGGCCCGGGTGTCTGGTTTTCATTCTGCAGGCAACAGGTAGCTGTGGAGTGGTTTTAAATAGGTAAGCAACCTTCATCAGATCTAGTTTGAAATAACAGTGATGGATGTCTGAGGACAGAGAGAAGAGATCGAGAGCTGTTAGGGGAACTGCTTCAGAGTGTTAGTATGATTTACTGCTGGTGGAGATGGAAGACAAAATGGACTGGGGAGTTATTTAGGAGGAAGAGTCAACAGCATTTAGAGACCAGGTGTGGCTAGGAAAGGGGAACAGAGGTTGAGTTGCAGGTTTCTAGGTTTTGGCTGCATGAGTATGTGTCATTAATGAAGACAGGATACAGGATATGATACTCAATTAGAGAAAGACTCCAGTTTACAGGACAAAAACCTTAATTTATCAAGGCTACCCACCATGGCTTGTGAGATGGGGCAAGTGTTAGATATGCTCAAAGAGTACCTTGTATTGTATTCCAAGGCAAGCACTGTAGAGAATAAACACGTCAGTGATCCCCTGCCACGAGAGCAGCAGCCTCTGATTTTTTTTATGTCATCTCAGATATCCAATTAGGCACTTTTTTGTCTGTACCTGGACCAACTGCAAAGATATCTCATTTCCCACCACCAATCAATACACAATCTCTTGGCTGGGAAGCCAGACCCACCGGGCTGGGCACACATTTTGTTCATAGAAAGGCTGCTCTGAGCAAGCTGCCAAAGATGCGAACACAACACCGCTGGCTTTGTCTAAATACAGGCCAAGATTACTCCACTGACAAGATCTCAGAGAGCAAAGCAAGTTATTTGTGGGCATGTGGGGCTTCTGTCAAATGTATAGTAATCCCATGTCAATCTGCACTTTATTTTTACAGACCATCATTTAAAAATCTGCCATTTTTACATATGTGAGGTTGGTATTGGTGTCTCCTTCTGTAGACCAGTTGGTCTGGGCAGAGGTAGGGTAGAGAAAGGTGATCTTCTGTGTGTTTGCACTCTCCCCTCTCAATTAATAGACTGCTAAGACTCAGAAATATGAGCCTGAAAACATGTGCCAGGCATTTTTCTGAGAGTTATGAGAAGGAAATAAAGGACAGTGTAAACACAAAAGGTATTACATTTCAAGCCATTAAGAGCTGGTCTGAAAACTTTAAAAAGCCTAACATTCGATAAAATGTCCTCTTGTAATCGGCCTCTTTCACTCAAATTATATTTGTCAGCACTTAGTTTCATCCTCTTTGCTATGTAGTATTCTTTCATATGAGTAAACCATATATATATATATTTTTTGAGTTGGAGTCTCACTCTGTCGCCCAGACTGGAGTGCAGTGGCCGCTTCCGGCCACTGCAGCCTTGACCTGCTGGGCTCCGGCGATCCTTCCGCCTCAGCCTTCCAAGTAGCTGGAACTACAGGCATGCGCTACCACACCCGGCTGATTTTTTGATTTATTGTAGAGATGAGGTCTTGCTGCCCAGGCGGGTCTCGAACCCGCGGGCTCAGGCAATCCACTCACCTCAGCCTCCCAAAGGCGCGGGATTACAGGCTGAGCCACCGAGCCCGGCTAAACCATATTTTATCCATTCAACTAGTGATGCACATTTGGGTATTTTAGTCTGGGGCAGTTAAAAAGTGCTGCAGTGAACATTCTAGTTCTGCTTCTGCTAGATACACATTTATGAGTGGCACTATTGGCTCAAAAGGTATACAAATGCTCAGTTTTGGTAAATACTGCCAGACTGTTTTCTAAAACGGTTATACCAATTTACACTCCCTTCAGCAGAACGAGAGTCCTAGTTCCTTTCTCACCCACACTTGGTTTTTTTCTTTTTCAAGCTGTTCTGGTAGAAGTCAAGTGTGGCATCTGCTTGCAATTTGAGCTTGCATTTCCCTGATGGCTAATTAACTTAAGAAATATTCCTCCGAAGTCTCTTTATAGGCTCTCCCATCCTCTCTCTCCTTTCCTCAGCCATTTATTTGTTGAAGAAACTGTGACCTCCTATTTTCCTTGGGAACATCAACATAAGCCTTTGTTGTTGCAGGGTAACTATATTTTACAGAAGGGCTCGGCTCATTATGATTCCTTGTGTCAACTCTAACCTTAAAGATAGTCACTGCCCAGGTTCATGAGACTGTTTCCAGACTAACCCTACAGCCCCATCCAAGTGGGAGCAGGGTAATTTAGAATTCTAACTGGCTTCCTCTATCTTTTCTTATTGTTATAAAGGGAAGGTAGGAACTTTCTTTCCAAACTGGTGCGAATGCTATGGAAGAGGCTCAGTTCATTCTGGGAAGTTACGGAGGAGGCAGTGATGGGCAGAGGGGAATTGTAATTTCTACTGCCAGTAATCAACTCTATGACTTTGAGGAAATCACTTGATTTATCTGGGCTTCATTGTTAATTTGAGTAATGGGATGGCAAACAAATTTCATTTTTAGGACTAACTCTAAGCAAGTTGAGGGTTGTTACCTAGAGTGTTATAGAAGGGTTCTGAGGCCAAGTCTAAGCTCAGTGGGAAACAGTACTGTGGTTAATTACTGGCATGGGAATAAGAGGGTGCAATGGCAGCATCTGGGCACGGTGTTTGTCACCTTTGGAAGATAATCTCTGAGGATCCTTCAGGCTCTGATGTCCTACATAGTGTATGTATGGTAAATTATTCAATATGGTTTGGAAACGAGGCTTTTGGTTAATAAAATATGCTAGGTAAAAGTCATTCCTAATTTTCAAGATAATTTGATAATAATAGGGTACATTTAATATAATTTAATCTTATAAATGCAGTAATTTTGAAAGAAGGCACTTGAGGATTCTACAGTATCAACAGGTTGTTATCACAAGCATCAATTATCATATTAAGAAAACCTAAAAATTCTGGTTAATAAAAAACTCTAGAGGTAGCATGTCAAATGAACTACTCTATTTGGTGCCAGCCAAGAAATTATAGTTACCAACTTGTTGCTTAAAGGGCATCCTAAAAGAAGAGCAGAGTTCTGCAGCCAGCTAATTATCACCAGCTACTACTGTTTTCTAATAACAACAATTTGGCTTGCTCCTTGTATCTTGGGAGATTTGTCAAGTCCACAGCAACTCCTCCCCTGAAAACTGCTCTTCTTCCTCTACCCATTCACAAGCATGGGGCTGAGGAGCTGTACTAATATCTGACTTCGTTCTTTGACCAAAGTTGGGCCAAAGAGAATCTCTTTTCTGTGAATGTAGAATTAGAGCTGCTCTGTCTCCAGTACTAATACTGGAGTCATTCTCCACCACAAGCTGTCTATAGTAAGATGTAGCCTGGTAAAGGGAATGACTGTCTCCCTTCAGGCTTGACTGCTTTCTGGTTCCAATCTGGTAAGGCTTGACTCTACTTTCTACCCTTGGGTTTCGTGAGATATCCCTGTTTCGTGAGATAACCTTCCCTTTACACATTATTGTCTTAAAAGATCCTCTTTTCTATGTTAGCTTAACACACATTTCCTCTCCATCACCTAGAGAGGCCGTGCCACCCATGCAGGGTTAAGACATAGGAAGGGATGATGATGAAAAGAAAAGGATAGAAAATTAGACATCAAAGAAAGAGGAAAGGGGAAGAAGAGGAAGAGGAAACAGTAAGAGAGAAAGATACTGAGAAAAGAGAATGAAAAATAAGACAAAATAAGTAAGGAATGGCTAATATGAATGGAATGGTGACATTGCCCATTTGTTCTGAAATCGGAACTACTGATTTGTACTCAATAATGAATTAGAAGAATAAAGCATAGGGCATGCAGTCATACAAGAATAATATGCCCATGAAATATGAAGTGAACAAGAAAGGTGCAGAACAATATGCACAGTATAACCCTGCCTTTGTAAAACAAACAAACCAATAATCCAACAACCTAGTCAAGTAAATCTAAATACGCTGAACTGTTAAGAGTGGTGACCTCTGGGGCAATATGATCTGAAGTGGCAGGGAGGGCTTTCACAAAACACTTCAGGATTATCTCAATTTTCTACAGTAAGCATGTTTTACTTTTTTTGTAATTAAAAAATAAGACTCAGTAAGAAAAACAAGCTGAGGCTGGGCCTATAGGCTCACGCCTATAATCCCAGCACTTAGGGAGGCTGAGGTGAGAGGACTGCCTGAGGTCGTGGGTTCGAGGCCAGCCTGGGCAACTTGGTGAGACCTCATCTCTACAATAAATCAAAAAATAAAAAAAAATTAGCCAGGCATCATGGCATGTGCCTGAGCTCTGGCTACTTG